CCAAGATACGGGATAGTTCTAGAAAGTAGAGGGCGTGAGAATCACATGATCTCGATGACGCAACAATATGTAAAATATTGTTAAAGACAGAAAGATGGTGTCGGAAAAAGCCAAATATATAAACTTTAAAACTAGTTTTATACCTTAATTCTGTGTCATATATAATACTAAAATTAATTCTGTCATTTAATAATTGATTATTGTCAACTTGTATTCATATATCAAATAAACAAGATATACAGTATTTGGTTTTATACATATGTTATCTAATTTTGATAAACCTTAGGACTAGCATATGTTAAAACGAGTGGGTGAACTGAACCCCAGCATTCAAACAAGACTAACATTTTTTAATCCCAGTATGGTTCTAATGAGTTATATTTTACTTAAACATCTTTGATAGTGATTGTCAGAGAGAAGATAGGATAAACTGTAACTTGGAAAATGCTATATTTCCTCAAATTACATCTTCCAAGAACATTTTCTACTTTCCAATCTTCTGTTTGGTCTGATCATTGCGATCTATGCTTTAGGTTTGTCACTGAACCCCATCTATCACCTTAGTTCTTTATTACACACTTTACACTCCTATACGTACTTTTATCTCATCTCATGTTCATTATGTCAAATGAATTTCATTTTCTGTTAGTTTTTATTACTAGCTATTTGTTAAAAATGCTTACGTTTATCAAACGGTTTGAAAACAAGCTTGGCTGGCTCCTTCGGATCGAGAGGCTTAGTTTTTCCGTCAAAAAACAGTTTCGCGTCACTATAAAAAAACAATAATATATATACTGTATATACATAAATTGCGTGTGTTAATAATATTAAATACACAATATATTACATAACTACGGTTTGCTATAATTTACTAAATGAAACGTATTAAATATATATAATGTTATTTAAGTTTTTTTCTCGTCCAAAATTACTTTGAATATAAAATATTCACTGAGAGCTGGGAGGGGGTACTAATGATATAATCTTCCAGACCTTGTTCAAGGTTGTTTTTTCTAAAATATTTCTAGTTACATATTCGCAGTATTTATATCAACACGTGTTTGAGAACGGTGAAAAAGAAAATGTAGACTAATTTTAATATGCTAAAACATGTTTCAGCCACAAGGTTGTTCGTGACGTCCATCCCAATCTTACGAATCGCGTCAGTTGAGGGTATGTCTCAGAAAGTAATTTGAGACGAACAAAATAAAATTCACCGAAAACAAATATTATGTATTTAAGCTAATTCAGTAGCGTTTAAGAATACTTTGAATTGGGAAACAATTAAAAAACAGCAGAAAACTTTGGGTTTTCAGAAAATAATCTGCAACAGCGAATGTTAGTTCAATGAGTTAGTTACTTTCCCCTGTATTTAAAAGTTTCTAACACTCATGTAGTGCTAGATAAGAAGTTAACCGAGAAGTTATTTAAAAGTAAGAAATACTATCAACATTTCATATATATTTCCAATATATTTTATTTTTCCTACTTGGCACTGATATTAGTATGTTAACGAGTTTATGTGTGTTAAGTGTCCAATTCAATGTGACTGAACAACTTTCTTTAAGGTATGAAACCAGTAGCAGGATTTAAATAAACAAAACATTTGCAAATGACCCCGAACAACTATCATGAACGTATAGAATTATACCATTTGTTTACCACAAAGGCGTCTCGAAACCAGTTTAACCTTGCAGCATATGATTACCATTAAATAACTAATAACCAATTTTAATAGCAGCGTAAGTGCTTTACTATAAATGTTGAGAAATTAAGGTTGACCAATAAAGAGGAAGAAAAGCGCAGTCGAGCCAGTCAAACGTTGGTAAATTCCTTTGTGAGGCAATCAAAATTAAGATCATCCATTTAGATCATAATTCTATTTACCAACAAATGTGTATCTGGGTTTCCTACATTTATAAAACTATAATCCTACTTAATAAATCTGTATTTAGATTTCCAGCATTTATACCATTATAATCCTGCCTAACAACAAATCTGTATTTATATTTCTAACATTTATGCTTGTACAGTTCTGTTTAACAACAAGTCTGTACCTAGGTTTCCACCATTTAATCCACTATATTCCTTCTTAACAACAACTCTGTATCTAGATTTCCAATATGTATTGCAATATAATCCTGCCTAAACCAATCTGTATTTAGTTTCAAGCATTCATACCACAATAATACTATCCAACAACAAATCTCCATTCAAATTAGATGACGAGGAACCTACTTTGAGACTACAAATGCTTAGAGACGGCTTGAATGGATAATGAAGAAAAAATATTTAATATACGTTTAACATAACATCAAATGTACAACGTTTCGACGAGGTTTTGACCTGACGATGACAAAACTTATATTAAAGTTTTTCTTCATTATCCATTCAAGCTGTCTCTAAGCATTATAAATCTCTATTTAGGTTTCAACATTTATACCAGTAAATCTGTGTATCAACAAGTCTGCATCTAGATTTCCAACACGTATATCACTATAATCCTGCTTAACAACAAATCTATATCAACGTTTAGACGTATATACCTTAATAATCCTGCCTAACAACAAGCATGCACTACATTTCTAAGCTATATATTTTTCACTACATCATGACCTAACAACAAATTATAATTCTGTCAAAAAACAAGCTTGCATCCAAGTTTATATAATTTACAATTATCGCAACTGTACGTTTTCCAAGCAACAAATGTGCATATTGTATCCAATGTTTAAATTTATTGGTGACAATATCCCAGATTCTACGAACAAAGTCCAGAAGTCAAATAACCCGCTATATATATTGCCGGTCTATCCAAACCAGTAACATTTTTAACATTCATTTTTATCTACCAAGTGAGGACAAATTCAACTACATAAGTTTTTTATTCATATCTCAGATAAATATTGATCAACACTCTTATTTCTTTCTAAGATTAGTGGTCTTTTCACACAACGTTTATCAAATATATGAACCTATTCACAGGCTCCTAACATCTCATAAGCCTGATAAACGTGAGACGACTTTTTGGATATTTGATACAATACATCAGCTTTTGTTTATTCACAATCTTCTTGATGGACATATTAATCTTACAGCTTCTTTTAATATTTAATTAACCAATACTGTTAACACTGTTTTGATATACTCACAAAATGGTTACTGCCCTATCCATGAACCCAAGGACCTTGCCTCCTAGATCGGTAACGTTTGTATACACACATTTCCAGCCAAGTTCAAACCACGTAAACTGCCTTGCCACCTCATACCATTCACCCAGAAACTGAAGGGAGAATGAAAGTAATCTTTTGTAAGGTATCTTGCAACTGAAATCATTTCAAATTTTCACTGTGTTTGGGCAATTTTTCCATTAAGTGATAAATCCATAAGAAATGTTATTAAAATATTGCCTGTTCAATTTTAATATTTCTCTGAGAACTGTTAGCTGATTGTACCGATGGTATACTTGAAAAAAAAAAAGCGATCTGAAGAATGCAGACAGAAAGAAAAGTCTGCTGTCAGTAACTCAACTGCTTTAGTCCTCCAAGTCTGCTGTCAGCAACTCAACTGCTTTAGTTCCTAAACCTGTAGAGATTTAACCTAATTTGTTTCATCGTTTATGGAAAAAATATAAGGGTGTAGTTTCTGCACAATAGTTTTGGAACTTAAATTTGCGTTGAATTGTTGTTGTTTGAATGAAATATTAACTTCTATTTCTCAAACAAAGAAGTAATACATTTTCATTGTAACCTTTGTTAGGGTTCATAAAATCTATCTTTTAATGATGGGTAATATGTGATTATTTCTCTATTTTTATAATTTATCTCATGTAATGTTA